AAGGAGATGGAGTCTTCATTAGGATGAGATCCCTCATGCCCAATCTTGTATTAAAGACCGGAATTTCAAGAAATTCTAATCGTCATTTGCAATCGCGAATGCTCTGTACCATTTGGTTGGCCTGAACAACTTATGGACCAGTAATCTGGAATCGAATTGAGCAACTTTCGAACAGGCTCCATTGTATTAGATTGGCAGATAAGTTTTCCATGTTTTTTCATAACTTTTTTCTTTTTGACCCTAACGAACTCATTTTTAAGCTCAATGTAGATTAGGTAGTAGGGTACAAATGTACGAAGAGTTAGATTTCTGGTAGCATAATGGAGAAAACGCATTTTACGCATTTTCATTTTCACGCATTTTTATTGAAGCTGGTCAGATTCGGAATTTCTTCAGAAAACCAAAAAGAAAGCCGTTCTCAGTCTGAATCAGACACATCAAGCCGAAACTATGCCCAAGTTGTTAATAGAGAAAACTCTAATGATTTATATGGTTTCGGCTTGATATTTGATATTGATATTCAGAATGAGAAAGGCTTTATTTTTGGTTTTCCGACCCTTGGAATTTCAAATTTGACCAGATTTTGAAGTTTGCGTAAATTCTCCACTTCGCTATAAAAGATCAAATTGTTTAGGTACATTTGTTGCTTATTACCTAGTCTACAATATGCCAAAAAATGAATGCGTCACAGTCAAAAAGGGGGAAGTTACGAAAAAAGATGCAGAACTTATGTGCCAGACTAATAGCTTATTCTAACCGCAAACAAGAAAAACTTTTTCGGGGTAACTCTCGACTCAGTCATATTTTGAAAGTTGCTCTATTTGCGTGTATTCATTTCAATTTTTGCTCTGCTTGCTGGAACATAGCTGTACAGGCTAAGGTCTATATAAATCATAGTGATCTGAAAGAGTATATTTTGACACAAACAATCAGATCACCGAATTGTGCGCGATTCGAAACATCGAAGACTTCCGCGTTAAATTCTGAACCAGGTCATTCTCAGCGGCGCTTTTGGCATGATCTCTGTTTTCATCTCTTGATCAGCGAACAGCGTGGGTGGAAGTGATGTAAAAAGTAACGCCCATTTCTTTTAGCGAACTTGGAAACGATATAAAAAGGAGGGAACTGAATCGGACCCCATCGACGACGATGATCTACATTCTCCTTCTTTGTGTTGGCATTGCATCGGCTGGTGTTGGAAGGTCAGTTTTCAGTTTTAATTGTTATGTTTTTCGAAGAGCTTTCTCTTATATAAATAGCATAAGCTATGCTTAATAAGCTGTTTTTATTAGTAATGCACATCACATATCTTTCTGCTCTATATGAGGAAAATTTGATGTGTTTTTGTCACAATTTCGGAGAGCGAAAATTCAGAACCGTATACAAGAAAAACTTTTTCTGAGGTGAAGAAGTCACTCAATCTTATTTTTTATGGTGTTTACCAGTATTTTCACGATTCCATTAGACTTTAGCCGAAACAGTCCTAAACTTAGATTACGTTTTGACCACTGATGACAATGGAAGCATAGGGTTTTGCAAGAATAATCGCTATCTGTGCGACTCATAAATGATGAAACAAAATCAGGCACTAAAATCATTTGGGTCTGAAAAAGTATGTTTTATGGTCGAAAAGATGCCAATCGCTATGTGTTACTTATAAGCCAATAACTTATAGATGATGAAAAAGAAATTTCCAAGATCAAAAGCAAATCCTTCTAAAAATGATTCTGGTCATTCAGGTTCCGCCGAGGCGGCTACGGACGCCCTGAAATCTTCCCTCCACCACTTCCCGATCAGGGACTCCCACCACCCCCACCACCACCGCCAATGGGTGGAGGATATGGACGCCCTAGCTTCGGTGGAGGTGGCTACGGTGGCCCAAGCAGCTTTACCTCTGTGAATATCTACGACCAACCCCAAGGTGGCTACGGACGACCCAGCGGTTACGGAAGACCGGCAGGATTCGGTGGTTTTGGACAAGGCGGCTTTGGCGGTGGAAGTGATTTTGGATCTTTCGGCGGAAGAATATGAAGACATCATGTTTTTTGCTATGCACGGGTAATCAGCGAAATTGACGTTCTCCAATAAATATTGGAATATTTGTTGCTCTACACAATTTCGCAAAAGCTCGAACTATCTAAGTAACAAACTAAATTTTCTCCATAGCAAAATAGACGATTATAATTTTGAAGTTACCAGGTATTTATGGACGATATTCACGGTATTCTTCTCAATACGCTAACATCGGAAATTCCAAGGGTTTATACAAATTGTTCAGAATACATAGATTTCAAAAGCAGGTTATTATAACTTAGCTTAACTTCAAAAAAAAAATGGCTGGGATGTAGCAATCTTCTAAAGACCATACACCATTGTTTGTAAATCAGACGTTCCATTTTACGTAACTATAAGTCATATACCGGGGTGCATATGCCGCTAATGCATGAGGTACGAAATATTTGGACCATTACCAGTTAAGAATAATGGCGCGAAATGGGATTTTCAAATGTCAAGTCATCATAAAATACATTCAACAAAATCGTACATTTTTTTCTTTGCTTAATACCTAGCATTTTAGCACTTAATTACGATATTACTCCATTTCATTCCTTTTGGTGCCTTTCTTGGAAACTACCGACAAAATGGCTTTGAACCCGGGGACGCCAAGGAAGGACGCAATACTGGTCTAATTCTTAGTCCCGAAACCGGATGCATAAAAAATTCTTGTCAGCAAT